CTAGCAAAGAGAGATGTATGTCATGCTTCCCATATTGTAAATCTTGTAACCTGCAAGTCTAAAATTATAATAATAAATGATAGCACGATAGCCAATTGCTCCTTCAAAAAAAAAAAAAAAAAAAAAATATTTATATTATATATTAATTTTGAATGTTTCATACTGTATCTGCAGATATAAAAATATTTTAGATTTTTAAGATGTAATCTATTTATTAACTTTAATTTACTGTAAATATTGAAAAAATTCTAGTGCAAAAATGAAAAGTTGAACGAACAAACTGAATGCATTTTAAATCCAACGGTTTTTAATTATACGAGGATTAGGATTTAATACATTTATAGCATTTAATATTAAGTTTCAACGGGAAATGTAACATAAAAAAATTATTTGTATCAAAATTATTGTTTAAGAATAGCAATGGCAAGTTCTAATCAAAAAGAGTGTAGTTTGCCATTCAAGCAGTGTTATATATAAAATTATGATCTCATGGATTGTTAAAGGAAAAACAGTAATTTTTATTTTTCAAACTCGATTTGATTGTGTCAGCACGAAATTACCAGAAAAACGTCTTAATTTAGCCAAACAAAAAAAAAAAAAAGAATCAGACGGCGCACTCATAGTAAGTGATATATATAAATAAATGATTACCGAGCCTAAAACACTACACAAATAATCTTGTGGACTTGGTACAGTAAAACAAGCCACTTACAAAAACTATACGTATACGAAGTCCTAGTTGCTCATATGGGTATTCCTCATGAGATCTCACGAATTAGCAACCAAGTAGAAACCTCAAATCCGTCTACAGAACCCTCCTTTATATTGAACCAAAATACAATAATGAGTAGTACTTCAGCTTCTCGTGTTGCCGGTAGCGAGACTTCTAATCAACCGAGTTCAACGACAACCACCCCTAGGGGACAGCAAATAGTTGCTAGGTCGTCAATATTATCACCTATTCAAAATTCTTCGCGCTCTACGGCCTCGAGACGTGTCAGACGAAATTGGTGGGGATACATAGTGGAGAATTTTAGATCTATCTCTAGAACCTCGAAAGTGTTATTAATACTGTCATTAGCAATGGTGCTCGTACAGGTTAGTGAGAATCTATAAAATTTAAATGAATTTTCACGGAATCGGATTCAATTTATCGGACTTACAAACGTAAATGACCTTTTGTAGGTTGTTGTCACAATCGTTATTATGATAGTATCACAAGGAAAACCATGCGACCGGCAGCTGCGTCTTTTTCTTATACTTTATATTGTAAGAGTGGTTATCGCATGTCCGGTGAATGTTTATTTGTATTTAAATCCGAGGGATAATAGACGCAGACGTGACGAACAAAATCAGGAAGCTAACAATGAGAATATGAGAAGAGAGGGTACTTGGATTGACAAGTAGGTATACTCCGGCTTTAAATTGAGTTCCAGTCACATTTACACAATGATTAAGAAATGTCATTATGTAATTTAGACTAAAATCTTGTTTAGATCTTTTTGCTACACTCTGGTTTATCGTTGGAAACTATCTTCTCTTTACCTCCGTTACCTGTCAGAGCACTGCTCCCGAAATTTTCTTCCTTTCTTTAACATGGGTCGTCCTAGGATACATTATAATAACCATTCCAATATTACTTTGTCTCGCTGTGATATTTTGTTTACCCTGTGTATTAGTGGCAATGAGAGTACTTCATGTCGGAGAGGCTTCTGGTATCAGCGGAGCTAGTATGGATGTTATTCAGAAAATTCCCTTGGTGAAGTTTAAAGCCACACACCACGAGGGCGATTCTGATGGGCAAAGCACTCAACAATCGCCGACCGATACAGTTGTTCTAGTATTATCTGAACCACAATCAGAACACCAACCATCACCTCCACCTCACGAAAAGTCACGGTTTAAAAATCTCTTTGGAAAAGGATCGACTCGTCCTCCTCCGACCCAACCGCAATTTCTCACAATATCAAACCCTGACGATGCTGTATGTTCCATTTGTCTTTCATCATATGAAGATGGTGAAGAACTGCGACATTTGTGGTGTTCGCATCATTTTCATAAGGATTGTGTCGACGAATGGCTAAGTTTAAATAGAAGGTGCCCAATGTGCCGTATGGATGTAGTTGAAATGGAAGAACAACATAGTAAGGGGAAAAGTCCTGCGAATAGTAATAATGATGATGATGCTGGTGAGGGCAGTAGCAATAGCACTGGTGGAGGGATAGGGTAGAAAGCTGTATATTGTGAGGCCGTAATAATATTAATGGCTAAGAATGAAAAATATTGAGATAATTTTCATATACTCCAGTTATGAGGAGAATTCATGAGAATTAACTACATATCACATGACACATATAGTATTTGCCAACAAATTTTTGTCAATAATTCAATTAAGTTATGACTCCCAGATAATCATAATCATGTCTGTAATTATTTTTTTTACATAACATTTTTTTATTGAATTACTAGAAATTTACCATGTATAATATGAGTTTCGGAGGAAAAAAAAAATAAAAATAATTCGGATTATGAGAACTTATTCTGTGAGTAATGAATTTACAAAAATATCTCAAGTATCTCACTTAAATTCCTTTTGTAATTATTTCATGCAAACAAAAATTCATTCGTAGTATAAAAAAAACATTATATATGTATAATGCCAAAGATCCTTACCATCCTCCGAAGACAACATATTTATATGACAACTTTTTCTATATATATACAATGATTCAAAAAATTACTGAGCCGTCGCAAATCTTTCGGCTACAGTTTTCCAATTGACCACAGCCCAAATGGCTTTCAAATAATCAGCTCTAGCATTCTTATATTGTAAGTAATAAGCCTAAAAATAATTTTTCAAATTAGTATGAGATAATGAAATTAATTAACAAAGCAGATTCATTTATGTACATGTTCCCAGACGTCAATTCCAAGAAGAGGCACGTGAGCTAAAAATTTAATTATGGAATAACGATTGGTCATTGAAAAAAATCTATTAGTTCACACACGAACTTGAAAAAGTGATAATAAGCCTACTAATTAATGGATCCTGGTTTGGAAGCGTTACGATCTCAAGGCGTTTATTAGATTTGTTATATCCCTATAAAATTTTAAAATTTCAAATATCCCATTATATCAATGATAAGATAATCCTCGACATAAATATCACTTACCAACCAACCCCAGCCAGAACCTTGGAGTAAAGAAGAAATAAATATTTTTTAAAAAAAAAAAATTAAATAAAAGGAAAATCTTATAAATCAATAATATTGTTTCGTTAATGCACCTTGAATTCCAACAGTAGTTGTGTTAAACTTGCTGATAAAGTCATCGACCGAACCAAAATCTTTTTGTATAGCGCTGAGAAGCGCACCTAAAGATAAGAAGAACTTTGTTCACATAACTTACAATGTCCAAAAAGCCCTTGATTATTCACATACCTTTAGGATGTTCGCCACCTCCATCCTTAGTCGGCGCAAGATTTGTCCAAAACAGTGAATGATTAATATGCCCTCCACCATTAAATTTCAAAGCCTCTTGCAATGCAATTTGTGAATGAACATCACGATCCTTAAGTGCCTGTTCAAACTTCTCTTCAGCCACGTTGAGGCCATTAACGTATGCTTGATGATGTTTATCATGATGAATCTTCATTATATCAGCTGAAATAACAGGCTCGAGAGCCTATTAGGTAGCGAAATGTTATGTTGGGGAGAAAACCGTAACACGGAATGCAAGTTAACGAGTATAATGTATATGAGTCAACATAAATGACACCAATAACAACAAATTTGCCATTTACGTTGTAATCATAAGGAAGGTCCGGTACTGTATGCTTTGACCTTGAAATAACAAAAATGGTGGAGCCGGCACGAGTTAATGGTCCACTCGAATTAGTGGTTGGGCCGACAATACTTTTTAAGACACGTAAAGGTGCTTTCAAACGATACATATCGAAAAATTTGAAGCAGATAGCTGTGGCTGATGGAAAAGAGCGAAAAATTGGTAAAAGGCATATTTTTATAATGTAAAGCAATAAAATGCGTAAATTTTTTCTCATCAATCTACCCAGGATCTGTCACACCTTCATCACATGATATTATAATACAGCCTCAAAAAATTTTGCTTGCAAACTTCGTTCAAAAGAGAATATGAGTGATGACCGTGATGTTCGTAGACGAACCATAGGGATTTCTATGGAAGATTCTTCCGATGATTCTTCAAGCACAGTCACACGAAAAAGTAAACGAAAATCACGTATTACTCGCTTACTCACTTCAATTAGGTGGATTGTTCTGTCAAGTTTAGTGTGTTGGCTATTTGATGTACCGTCTAGTGTACAATTCATTTTGTCATTGGACGGGTGGGCTAGGTAATGATCATTACTGCTAGCTTACTTTGCTAAATTCTTCCAAACATATTTTCGATGACTCGCATTTATCAATTCCACAGAAATCTCTTTTACCTCTCTGGTATATCTTTGTCTATTACCTTCTTGATTTTCCTTTACCTAAATTTCTATCTCCCGTACATAAAACATACTCCACCACCGAACTATCGATTATGGAATCGTGATGAAACCTTAAAAAAATATATACCCATAGCTACTGTAACAAGTACTCTCGGTATATTGGGATTTATTATTAGTTGTTGGAAGATTTGGGGATTCTTTTCTCCTCTGGTGGTTTCGGGTATGTTGATGGGTATTGTAGGAATAATGAATCTTTTTGGATAACACACAATGGTTTCAGGTTAGTGATTACTTGTTAGGAGGTAATAAATGTTTCCTGGATCACATCTCCGCTTTGTATATATAATTCATTATTTATATCAAAATTAATTTAATAAGAAATATATATTATTTCAATATGCATCCAACTGATAATCCCATACCTTTGAGCAGTGCGTTTCAGTTAATATTACAATGAAAAGCTTCTGTCATGCTGTATCGGGTAAAAAAATTCAGCCATATTCAATTGACATGACGCGTCATGATCAATCGCGTTCGTGTTACTATACATTTGGTACAATTGTCTTTTTGATTTGAATGAGAGAAAATTCTCCATTGTATGACAATCTTCGTGTCAAAACTATTACTTAGTAAAATAAATTCATGAATATATAACAGGTTCAAATTTATCACGTTATTATTTTCACTACTCATAATGAACAAAGTTATTATTCAATTTAATTTTTTTCTTCAATTAATGACATTACATATTATATCAATATTTATTCTTTTTTTTTTATAGTTTTTTATTAAAATTAAAAACATCTTTAAATCAATTATTACAAAATAGTTCTACTTATAGTAATTTTTGTATTTATTCAAATTAATTGAATAAATGGTTTTTAAAATTGTATTTTTTATTAGATGTTTTGAATTCATCATTGATTTTTTTATTGAATTAAAAAAGAATTTGTATATTATTATAAAGAATTACACTTTTAAATTTAAAAACAAATAAACAAACATTTATAACTGAATTTTCTATATATATTGTATCCAATTAATCATATTTATATTATTAAACTTGGTTAAGTTATATAAAAATAAGCCTTTGATTTTTTAATAATTAAAAGTTAAAATACTTAATTATAAAGAAAAAATTATATATAAAAATATTTTAATCTAATTTTAATATACTATATATTTCAAAAATAATTAAACTTACAAACTTTTAAAATTATTTAATATTTAATAAATATATAATATTTTATTTAAATAAAAATAGGAATTCAATATAAAATAAAATTAAACAAATTATTTTAAAAGAATATTTGAAAAACACTATAAGAATTATAGCTACTTGTATAATATTTTAATATAGGTTTTAAGTTTAAATTATTTAATTTATATTATATATTGTAATAATATAATTTTTAAATTTTTAAACTACTTAAACTGTTTAAATTTATATAGATTACTTATTTATATTATATATTTTATAAATAACTGAATTATAATAATATAAAAAAAATAATTGATAATTTTATTTATTACAATTTATTTTATAAAACTATCAATTAAAATTTTTCAAAAAAATTTTAGTAAAAATTTATAAATATTCGAAATTATAATTAATTATAATAAATCTAGTCTAAATTAATTAAACCTAATTAAACATAATTAAATTAATTAATTTGGTCAAAATTAAGTAATTTTCAGTTTAAATTAAAATTCGAGTTAATTTTGATTAAAATTAATTAAATCAAGTTAGCTTTAGCCAAATTTAATTAGTCAAAATTAATTAAATCCGGTCAAATTTAATTAAATCCGGTTAATTCCGGTCAAAATTAATAAAACCGGCTAGTTCTGACTAAAATTTTTAAATCCGGCTAGTTCTGAATCCGGTTAATTCTAATAAATTTAAAATTTTCTATTAATTTTTTACTAATTCTTTTATTAACTCAATATCAAATACTTTAAAAAAATTTATTATTTCTACAAAGCTTATGTATTTTTTTTAGCAATACCAATTACTTGATTAATAAAATAAATAATAATATTTATTTATTTTTTCTTTTCAAATACGTATTTTTTTTATTTATTATACAATTAAATATAAGAAAAATATTTAAAAAATTTATAGCATAACGTTTTTATAAAAAGAATATTAATAATAAAAATATTAAAATATTAATAATAAGATTTAGAATATAAACTTTAAGAAAAAATATTATAATTTTATTATAAAATAAAAGCAAATCAAATCAAATTATTCAAATTTAAATTTTATAAATAGCTTTTAAAAAATAATAATAAAATATATAAATAAAAAAAATTATTTAATTAAAATATATAAATAATTTTTAATAATATTAAGTTTTAATTATATTTTAATTAAATAAATTCATTATATACTGTATATAGTAATATTTTTTTTATTTTCTATAATATATACAACCTTTTTTTTAAAAATTAAAAAGTATTTAAAAAATATAACTTGAAATTAAACTATTAATTTTATAAAATATTCAAACAATATTAATTATTTATATATATTTATTTTAAATTATTTAAAACAAATATAAATATATATAATAAAAACTCTTTCCGCTGATCCTTTTGCCAACACAAAAAAACAGACGTTCCAAGAAAATTTTATATTTCCTTGTAACA